TAAAAAATGAAAAGAAATTAATAAATATTTATTAAAAAGGAAAAATCAAAAAACCAAAATAGATATCATTATTAGAGTGTATAAAATTTTTTCTCTATAAATTTTGTTGACGTCGAAAATTGTACAACCAAAATTCAAGCCAACTTTAAGTGTTGTTGATGGTCTTTGTTGATAATTACTTACAAAACTACAAGTACTTTTATCAAATGGGATATTTGAAATATGAAATTGTTCGCCCCCTCATTTTTTAGGATGTTGCCCCCCTTTTATAGGAAAAGAAGGACTTGTATTCTTCGCATTCTTGTTTTGTCAACAACAGTGCCGAGTTGGAAACTTGTGCCAATTATTTAAGTCCTGATTGGTTGTTGTCAAATCAACATACATTATCGAACTAGGAAAGTACGCCAATAACATATTCCTATTGGTTGCTGAGATCGGCCCCATCAGGTAATTATGAAGCCGACAGTAATTAATGAATTGATTAGAGAACGAAGCTATAACATTTAATTGGTGGGCGGTGAAGTAATTCTTTTAGATTGTCATTAATTGATTGAATGTTTTGGCAATGTGTAAGGAATTTACAATCATTATATCCCCTCAAACCATGGCAGTCATAAATACGAGCTGACTTTGAAGATTCGACCTTAATTTATCATGAGTTAAGTACATATAACAATTGGTCTTAATTAGGTCGCAGGTCAGATGTCAACAAATTTAAATTTGTTATCTATGGTATATGAGACGCTCTTTGTAAATAGAGAGTTTTTGAAGATGCTCGTGAAAATTTCAATTAAAAGTTGAGCAATGCAATTTAACCCTACTAGGTTACAACCCCAATATAGGTTACATTAATGTTTCATTAAATAATAACTGGAATTAAATAAGTCATTTATTTAACCTATCGTTTAGTGTCATCAGGTTACATAGCATTATTCTTAAAAGTTACATCAGAATTATAAAATTTGACGGACTTATAAGTAATTATAAAACTTTGTCAAACATGAACTAATGTTACTGTGTTCAAAGTTTCGTGGCAATAAGATATTGCAAATCTTCTTAAAATTGTCAATCAGATTTCTCTACCTTCTTTCGGACTATGCTCGTCTCTTTCTGCAACTTATTGAGAGTTCTTCATTGATCTGTGACTCTTTTATAAACTCAATTAGAGAGCTACTCTGCCAAATCCTTCATCAATTAATCACCCCATATATAAAAATTAATGGCAATTAGGACGAGGGTGCTGAGCCTGGTGCTTTTGGTTCTGTTAACGAGTCCAGTTATGAATAACGGAGGACCTATTGATTGTATAAACGGCGTCGTATCAGCGCTGAATCCCTGTAAAGATTTCCTCAACGGTGTTTTGCCGCTTCCTACGGCTGAATGTTGCGGCGGCATCAAGTCCTTGATCGGCGTCGCGGCCGACGTCGTGTGCCAGTGTCTTAAAGAAAATCCAATCGGCGGCGTTATTCCGTCGCTGGCGAACCTCCTTCCTGGCCTCTGCGATCTTGTTCCGTTGCTACCCTTCATCAAGTGCCTGTAATATACATCTCTTTGCATATATATTGCGAATTCTATATGTATGAAATTCATTCCGACGATTTTGTTGATTAATAACTCGATTTTGTTGTTTACAGTATTCCATAAGAAAGTGGCAGCGATATTCCGATGGAGTGAAATTTCAGTTCCTAAAACCCTATGGAATGAATAATTGTAAGATTTATTCTTAGAAAATTAAATTCTACGAATTCTTAAAAATAATATTTGAATTAGCAATTGCTTTAAGTTACTTTTTCTGTGAACATATATTAGTAAGTAGTATAAAGCCCTTTTTATGCTTCTATTTAGTAGATTTTGGTAAGTTTTACTTTGAATTCACGAGGATATAATATTACTTCACTAATTAAAGGTCAAACTGTAAATTGAGATTAGTAGAAGTGTGTTATAAATTAAGAAAATAAAAAATGAGAGAGTGGAAATTCATGTATAAAGTTTACAATAAAGCTGAATGTACAGTTTTGGTTCACACTTTTTAAAAAAAAAAACTGTGAACCAAGGCTATAACTCTAACATGGTTCTAAAGTTTAATAGAGAGTTACGATTGGAATAGAATGCATTCTTCGAGAATAGGTAAAGATTATCGAAGTATATTATAAGATTACATACTCATAATTTTTTATTACTTCTTGTTTCATGATTTTCTGCACAATAATCACTTAGCTTAAAAACTTGTTTGTAAAAAATCCAATTCGACGAAAAATTAAACGTGAATTGAAAAAGAGAACAATTACAGGTTAAAATTTTGGAGTATTTCTCATCAAAGCGTGGCCAAGAAAATGAGTAGGACAAAAACTGGAAGAGATAAAAGAACATAGTTACTCCATTCCATTTCATAATGAAAGATATTGTATCTAGTCATTCATATATTGTGCATAAATGTTTTCAATACACCATCTTTCAAAAATTTATACTCTCAGACCCACAAAAATGAATAATGATACTCGTGCATGATTGTTTATAGAATGATGTACCAAGAAAGAGAAAAAAAAAATTTTTTTTTGAAGAGAGGGAGAGAAAATAAAAAGGTGATAAGAAAATCACTTAAATCATAATATAATGTCACATCATTAATCAGTACATCAATCTCTAGTAAAATCCTCTGATTCATCTGCACCATGAAAATAAGGGGTTAGAAAATTAATAACTTGTCTACTTCAATTATCAGCCAAAATATTTTTTTTTCCGTCTATGTGTTCTATATTACTTTTAAAGCTGCTTAATATCTCATATAATTTTAACCATCTTTTATGTCTTATTTTATCAAAGTTTGTATTTTTAATAAATTTTACTATAACTTCACAATCTGCTCTAATTGTAAATTCGGTATTTAAAAATAATTTAAAACTTTCTATACTATATATGATCACCATTATTTCATAATCTAAACTAGTTAAATATTTTATTTTTATCTTATATTTTCCACTAGCATATCTATAAATATTTTCTTCATTTTTATCACTATATTTATTAGGTTNAAAACTGGAAGAGATAAAAGAACATGGTTACTCCATTCCATTTCATAATGAAAGATATTGTATCTAGTCATTCATATATTGTGCATAAATGTTTTCAATACGCCATCTTTCAAAAATTTATACTCTCAGACCCATAAAAATGAATAGTGATACTTGTACATGATTGTTTATACAATGATGTACCAAGAAAGAGAGAAAAAAATAATTTTGAAGAGAGGGAAAATAAAAAGGTGATAAGAAAATCACTTAAATCATAATATAATGTCACGTCATTAATCAGTACATCAATCTCTAGTAAAATCCTCTGATTCATCTGCACCATGAAAATAATGGGTTAGAAAATTAATAACTTCTCTAATTAAATTATCAGCCAAAATATTTTTTTTTCCCCGTCTATGTGTTCTATATTACTTTTAAAGCTGCTTAATATCTCATATAATTTTAACCATCTTTGATGTCTTATTTTATCAAAGTTTGTCTTTTTAATAAATTTTACTATAACTTCACAATCTGTTCTAATTGTAAATTCGGTATTTAAATATAATTTAAAACTTTCTATACTATGTATGATCGCCATTATTTCATAATCTAAATTAGTTAAATATTTTCCTTTTATCTTATATTTTTCACTAGCATATCTATAAATATTTTCTTCATTTTTATCACTATATTTATTAGGTTTGGAATATAAAACTCCTCCCCATCCAAGTTCACATCATTCTGTTTCTATTATTTTATATTCGCTATCTAATAGTAATTTTAATGGTGGTAAATTTTTAACTTCTTTTTTTAATTTTCTAACTAGTTCTATATCTGATTGATTAAAATATTTTTGTCATTT